ACCTAGCAGAATTTGATGTCCTGATCGCGACGGCGCCATCCGTTTGGCAATCATAGGTCGTTTGATCCTTCAAGTGACACGTGGGGCTAAGGCGCATATCGCTTTACTCACCAGTTTGGCCCTTTCGTAAGTGGTTTGAGGTGTCGGGGTCAACAAGGACCCAAAATTTCAGCGAGAAAGGAATATTTTCTATGTTTCTGCTACATGTTAACAAAGCAAGGCATTTAGGCCAAGGTAAGTGTTCAACGCAAACAACTTTGAACATAAAATGATATTTCTATTACATAGAAAACCATAACAAAACTCTAGAAATTAGATAATATGCTCTTTACAATTACAATACAAATGATGCATAGGCAGAATTCCGGCGCCAGTCGACAGTTGGGCAGAATTTCAACATAAGTTGACAGTCGGGTGAAAGTCCGGCGGTGGTCGAGGAGGAGTTTCTTCCTTCTCTTCCTTTTCTCCCTTCACTTCTCTTCTTGCTTGGGGTCCCCTCTCAAGAGAAATGAGGAGACTATTTATAATTTTCTGAGAGTGGCACGGCCAGTAATAGGAGGAAGATCAGGGGTAAATTGGGAGTGATTTGAATAGATGGCCGATGTATAATCCCTTGATCATGGACCGTTTATTGAGCATTTGTATGCCTTACTGATATCGGAATTTGGCAATCTTGGTCTCGTTGGATTCGTCTCGTCAAGTTGCTCGATTCGGCTATAAGCACGCCATATTTGGAAACTGTTTGGTAATCCAAATTATGGATTTAACCTTCCAAATGTGGTTTGGGTCTTTGATTTGGACTTATTTGGGCTCGGATTGAGTTGAATTTGGTGTCGTTCGTATTTCCGAGAAGTTCAGTTCGACTGTAAGTTTGCTGAAATTAGAGTTTAGATGGTCCTGAATTTAATTTTTGAAGTTTCCAACTTGATTTTGTCACGAGATTCGTGCCCGATCCAGATAATTTTATGATGATATATCAATTACCAATGAAAAGAATATCATGAAAATAAATAAGCATTGTATATTTAAGTATGATTATAGTTGTATATCAAAAAAGAAGGATCTACAGTGCTAAAAATAAATCCTTGCTTCTATAGGTAACTGGCGAAGGTGTCATACCATTGGTGAGGTGCTTATCTAAGTCTATAAATAGCCTTTTGCAATAGTCATACATTCCCCGCATTCTATACATTTTTAAAACTTGGAGGTTGAGCCATGTAAATTGTTTCACCAAGTATACCATGAAGAAAGTCATTGGAAACATATAACTGCAAAGCTATCCAGCTGAAATGTAGAGCAATTGAGAGGAGCTAGATACAAGGCATCCTAGCAATAGAACTAAATGTTTCATCGTAGTTTATGAGATGTTCTTGTTTGTAATCTTAAGCAACAAGACAAGCTTCATAACGTGCAACCATACCATTAAATTAAGTTTGCCTATGAAAATCTACTTGCTATTTAGCATGTTTTGCTATGAAGATGGTGATACTAGACTCCAAGTGCCTTGAACCTAAAGGGCATGAAACTCTCAAGACATCACCTGCCTCCATTCGAGAAACTTTGCTGCAGTGGTGTAACAAGTTGGAATAATAAGAGTGGTTATGACATGAGTAAGATTAAGAATGTGTCTTGATTTGAAAGATTCAATTTTTGATCTTGTGGTCAGGCATTTCTGCGAGTAACTAAGAGATGTGAGTGCTAAGGCTGGAAATGTTATGGTTGCAGTGGAGAAGAAATTGGAGAAACAACTGGTGGAATGGGAAATGTGGGTTGAGGGAAGTGGGCCTTGTGATGAATTGGAAATGGAGGTTGTGGAGTGTTTGATAGGGATGATACATACATGGCCCAAGGTAAGGAGAGATTATTATGTGCGGACACCAGACACAGCTTACCGTCCAGAGGCCAATCAGGTGCAGCCACGTCATTCAGTACCGAGCATTACTGAGCTCAGAACCGAGCAGTACCGTGGCACATTTTCATTGGGCTCTGGACGGCATTCGGCGTCCACATAGAATAATGCATCCAAGTTAAGAGGCATAGAAGCAATGACAGAGGACGTTCTGCAATGACAACTAAGACTTTCAGATGAAATGCTAGTTTCATCAAAGGACATAACAGGAAACGAGTGTTTTTCCCTTGAGCAGGTTGTAGCATTTTTAACTTTCATGAAAAGAAGCATACCAAACAAATATATAGTAAAGCAATTTTGGAATCAATATTAAGAGAATGAACTTGTAATCAAAGATAGCAATTGCAGCCAAAGGCTTTAAAATGCGAATATTGTGGTGGTCTATTATATAATGGCTTATATGAAAACCGAAATTTAGTCACTCAGGAAGATAAGTGATTGATATATATAGCAATGAAATGGGAGTCAACCCAAAGATGATGAGGGAGACCTGCTTCTATAAAGAGAGTTTGAGCAATTTCAATTATACAATGATGCTTCTTCTTGGCAATAGCATTCTGTTTAGGAGTGTAGGGATAGCTAAATTTATGTTTAATACCCATTGAGATAGAAGATTTTTAAGAATTTGTTCTTGGATGTTTCGCTGCCATTAATTCACATAATTTTGATTGACCATACTTGGCTGATTTTCAATCAATGTTTTAAATTGAATGAACCTTTGAGTTGAGTCAGATTTGTTGGACATAGGAAAGAGAAAACAAATTCTAGAAAAATCATTAATAAATGATCATAAGATTTGTAGCATAGAGTGTATTATGAAAGATGTTCCCAATATATCAAAATATATAAGTTCCAGAAGTAATGTAGGTAATTGTCTTTGACGGAAAAAAAGGGAAGTTTGTGATGCTTCGCTTGGTGGCATGAGTTACAAGTATATGTACTAGAGGAAATACAAAGAGAAGGATGTTGTTTAGCTAATAAGAGATCCTTGATAGTGTAGCCAATGGCATCAAAGAAAATGGAACAATCATTTTCAAAGTGAGTTTGTGAACCAAAAAAAAATTGATTGTGAGAGCTGTGGAACATGAAGAAGCAGTTTACAAAGAAGTTTAAGATGGGACATTGAAAGAAGCCCTTCAATTGTGGTTAAAATCGATGTTGACTGGCCATTTTTGATAAACACTTGCTCTTTGTCTCGATATAAGATAGGTTGCTTAAGACAATTGGAATTGGTTGTGAGATGTGAACTGGCATCGGAGCTAAATGCTAGTTGTCATTGGAGTAAAAATCAACAACAAATAAAGCTTGCTGAATAGTCCTAAGGGAGGAGTAAGTGAGATTGATATGATGCCAACATTGAGAAGCCAAGTGACCTCCCTAACCAAATATTTGACATGTAATTTGATTAGAACAAAACAACTGTTGTTGGACAAATTGGATGAGTGACCTCCTCAAGTGGATGGATCGGAGTAACTACAACAACTACAAAAGAAATTGGGAAAAAGACCCATCCTCTAGATTCAAGAAATGGAGAGAGCCACAATGGGATCAATAGTTTGAGCATTTTGATCTTCACAAGTGGCTTCATTATCAATATTAATTTCTTCATTACACTGGAGAGAATAGAAATCATCCAAACATGTAGGTTGGAGAGAGGTACAAAAGGTTGTTTTGAAAGCTTTATAGTTAGGAGATAAACCATTAAGAATATATAGGATGATATCTTTAAGATCAATGGTAGAACCAACTAGGGGTGTAAGCGAGCCGAGCCGGCTCGAACTCGACTCGTTAACGAGCTCGCGAGAGCTCGAGCTTGATATTTCCTAAACGAGTTGAGCTCGAGCCCACTTATCGAGCTCAAACTCGAGCTCGAGCTCGAGCTTATTAGGGATTAAACGAGCTAGGATTGATAAGGCAAATACTCGACTCGACTCGACTCGACTCGTTTACACCCCTAGAACCAACTAATGCGATATTATCAGCCTTCGTTTTAACCTCCAATAGAACTTGTGTAATATATTGATTATTCACTGAGAGGTTGTGAAGTTCGTTTTTTTGTTGAATAACTATGGAGCAATTTGTCAACTATAAAAGCCTCTCAATTAAGAATATAGGCAATTATTGTGGTGTATAAAGCTGCAATGAGATTTTGGTCTATGATCATCCATGTAGCATAATGAGAGTTGTGAGAAATGTGATTAGCTTCATCAGCTATCTATTTAGATGGGTAAGAAATAGACCCATCGAGATATCCACTAAACCCATTTGCCTTGAATAGTTTCAGGACCTGAGATCTTCATGTGAGATAGTTGCCAGGGGTGAGTTGAATCGGAACAATGGTTTGAAGTTAGACCTAAAAATTTGTAGGGTAGAATGAATTGTAATTTCATTCATCTTAAGCAAGGATGGATCTTCTGTTTCTACTGCATTCATGTTCAAAGTTGCTAAGACATCCATGGAAAAGCTGAGAAAGGAAGAAATGAAAGTTACCAAAGAGCCCGAAGAACTAAGACAAAGAAGACATGAAATTGGTGAGGTTCCATTGGTCTTTTTTTTTGCTCTAATACATGAAGAAGATAGAAAGCTACGAAAGGTTTTTAATAAATTAGAAAAGATGATGATAGTATCCATCCCAATACAAGTAACTTGGTAATGTATAACAAATACTAGCAGCTTTTTGGAGCTTTGATAGAAAGACCATTTTACAGCAATTCTATTTTAGATGACAGAGTTTGTTTTTTTCAATGATTGTGATTGGTTCATCAGATGGTGTAGATGTAAATGAAAGAAGTGGTGGTTGTGATGGAGAGGAACATTGGCAGCTATTTTGATATTGTTCAATAAATTCACTAACTGCTCATGAAATAGGATTCCTATCCTTTTTTCTTATGGGGATGGCGAAAGATAATTGCAATTGTTAGTGTATGTAGGTATATATGCTAGTTCACGCGCTCGAAGGCCGGTTCTCTAGCAAGAGGAAAGGCCCCTCTATCAGTTGAACTACACGGCTCAGCTCCCATCCTATCCCCTCTTCTCATTGCAGAAAAAAAAATATCCAGATAAAACATCATGGGTTTGAAATTTGCCTCACCTCACCGAAGAGCATATCTCTATTCTTCTTCAGAAGCTCCAAAACCTTCATGAGGAAACCCATCACCGTTAGAACAAACACGTACAAGAAGAGATGGACGTAGAGAGGAAAAAAAAGTTACCCTCTTAATTTTTCCGATGTTCTCCAATTCCTCAGGGCTGGCGTCCTCCTCCAACTTGCTCGATGCACTAAGGCCTGTCTTCTCCTCCTCAATCTCAACATTCACCTCAACGCCGGGAACGCCCAGCTCAGTCTCTTCCTTTCCGACAGCGCTGAGTATGAATGATAGTTTTCGGCGGCGGATGCGTTGCGGCTGCGAGAAAGCGATGATGGAAGTTCCAAAGAGAGAGGAGAGAGATCTGAAAGGGATAGGATTAAGAATGAAGGGCGGGGCTTCGAATGCAGAAAGCGGGAGGCGAAGGGCCATTTCAGTAGCTCGGCGGCGATGAGGTGAATGTCCCGGCGGAGGTTTAGCGATAGGTGCTGGTTTTATCCGCAGCTACTGAACTGTTGGATCATTCTCATGGCTGCCTCACTAGAGTCCACTGCCGGACACGACTTCTTTCTTGGTTTAATTTGGTTAGTTTTATTCTTCAGATAGCTGAGAAACCCAGCTCAGCTTGTATAATGGTTAAGAGTTTTTATTATTAATTAAGAGATTATGAATTAAAATTTTAATAGGAATGTGAGTTTATTTTGATTTACTCCAACGTAAAAAATATTAGAGCTGACAAAATGGTACATTTCTACATTAACACTAATTATTTTCAAATACTTATAAAAAATTTTGGGTTCTTAAGACCTAAAATAAAATTATGGGCAATAATGATGTTTAAAATTCAAATTTTATTTAATAATTGTTCAAGTTTTAGGCTTTGTTTGGGACGGTTTTTTGTTGTTTTCTAAAACATTTTTTAGTACAAAAGTTTTAGTTCATTTTGAACTAAAATTTGTTTTTGAAAGTAGCAAGAAAGTTGTCCCAAACGAAGCCTTAATCTACTTGAAATTAAAATTGATATGAACAAGTTAAATATAGCATACAACAACAACAACATGAAGCCTTTGTCCAACTACGTGGGGTCGGCCATATGAATCATTTTTCGCCATTGTGTCCTGTTAAAAGTAAAATTCTCATTTAAATCTAATAAAAAAATATCATTTATAATATTTTGTAACCAAATTTTTTTGGTCTACCTCTATCTTTCTTAACATAAGTCAAATCTAATACCTCAACTTTCCTAACAGGGTCATCAGAAGGCCTCCGTTTAATGTGGTCAAATCATCTAAGGCGACTCTCTTTAATATTATCTTTCACTGGAGCTACTCCAACATTTTCATGTATATGCGCAAGTCATATCATATCTTTAAGGGCAAAGCCACTCATCCACCTAAGCATCCTCATCTTTGCAACACTTAACTTAGTATTATGCATATATTTTAATGGCCAACATTCGACACCATAAAGCATTGCAGGTCTCACCACCATCTTATAGAATTTTCCCTTAAGTTTGCTTGTGTTTGAACACAAGTAATAACTCTTGCATACATATCTTTAATGATTTTAATATAAGCATTATTAACTCCTTTCTTTTCAAGAACTCTCCATAGCACTTCTCTTGGAACTTTATCATATGCTTTCTTTAAATCAATAAATATCATATGTTGATCCTCCTTATTCTCTCTATATTTCTCCATCAAACCTCTCAATAAATGTATGACTTCCATAGTAGACCTACCCGGCATGAATCCAAATTGATTTTGAGAAACATTAGTATCACACCGCAACCTACGCTCTATAACTCGCTCTCATAGTTTTAAAGTATGACACATTAACTTAATTCATCTATAATTCACAAACTCCTGTACATCACTTTTATTCTTAAAAATATGAATTAACACACTCAATCTCCACAAATCTGACATCTTTTTAGTCTTCAAAATAGTATTAAGAAGTTTAGTATGCTAAGAAATTCTTTCAATCTCCTAAACATTTCTACATCTCTATTACAATATCATCAGCTCCAATAACTTTTCCACACTTTGATCTCTTTAAAGCCTCTCTAACTTCAGTTTTACTAATACGTCAAAAAAAATAAAAATTTTTATTTTCATTTAGGGTGCTAAAGTCACTAAAGTCAATCGTAATTTTATAATATTCATTAAAAAGTTTAGCAAAGTATCTCATCCACTTTTGTTGAATATCATCTTCTAAAAAAAATTTTTTGATCTACATCCTTAATACACTTCACTTGAACTAAATCCTTACTACTCATATCTTTTTGTTTGGCTAACTTATACATATATCTTTATCCCTCCTTAGTACCTCATCTATTATATAAATCATTAAAAGCTAAGCTCTTTGCATCACAAATAGTTTTCTTAGATTCCTTATGAGACTCTTTATAGCTTTCACAATTATCTAAATTTGTACATCTAAACTAATTTTTATAACAAATCTTCTTATTTTTTATATTTTATTGCACTTTTGGATTCCACCATTAACTATATTTACTATTAATAGCTTTTTTACTTCGAAACTTCAATCACATCTTTTGCAATGATCTTAATATCACTAGCCACCTTTTTTCATATAATATTAGCATCCTCATGTACAGACAAAATCTTAAGATTTAAAATCTTACTTTCAAAAATACTTTTGTTAATATTCTTTAAAGGCCTCCATCCAATCTTACAAAAATTATTTTACTTAAATTTTTATTTTTTGCCCCTTTATCTTAAAGTCTAAAACTAATTATCGATGTTGTGTACATAAATTTTCATTCAAATTAACTTTGCAAACTATGCAATCTAAACGATCTAATTTTTTTATAAAAAAATAATCAATATGTGTTTTAATATATCCATTTTTCTAAGTGATAAGATGCTCATCTCTTTTCTTAAATAAGATATTAGCAATTAAAAAATTATAAGCTAAAGAAAAATCTAATATGGTCTTACCACCTTCATTTGTCATTCCAAACTCATGACCATCATAAATACTTTTAAAATCATCCATCTCTCTACCAACATGTCCATTTAAATCTCCTCTAAGAAAAACTCTTTTTTCAAAAGGTATCTTTTATATTAATTATTCTAAGTCATTCCAAAATTTTAATTTTAAATACATATCCAAACATATTTGATGAGCAGAAGCACTTTAATATTAACAATTTTGTATCAACAATAATATTTAAAGTTATAATTATATCTTCAATTCTATTAATTTTTATAACATTATCCTTCAAACTCTTATCTATAATCACATATACACCATTTCTAGTACGACTTTTATCTGAATACCACAGTTTATTTCTTAAACTATTAATCTCCTTAGTCTTCTCTCCAACTCATTTAGTTTCTTAAATGCACAAAATATTTATCTTTCTATGAATCATAATATCTATTAATTATATTACTTTTTTTTAAAGGGAGCCTATATTCCAAGTTCATATCCTAGATTTAGTTTCATGGATTAGCTTCTTTGCTCACATCCGTCCTTGATGTGTGAAGCCTTGCTTATTTAACACTGCACTCATGTGCCGGTGCAGTGGCCCTTACATAATTATCGCTGTATTCAGGGCATACAACAAGTCGCTTCCAGGGGACACCCTAACATTAACATAATTTTTTAAAGGATTCATGTCATGATTATTCGACAAGTTTTACGTTGTTGTTGGCTAGCTAATGCAACCCTACATTTTTCTCATCCAGAACTTGAGACTTGGCAATGACAGTGTTAATAAGTTAAATATGGCATATTTGAAATAAATTCAATTTAATTCAAAATAGACTCATAAGATATATATATATATATATATATATATATATATTCAGAGCATGTGCATCTCTAGAATTGATGAATATAATGTTTTGAATTGATGAATATAAATAATATATTTTTCTATTCAGAGCATGTGTATCTATAGAACTTTATCGAGCTTGTAAGAATAAAGAATGTACACCGACTTCCTACAGTTATATTATCTCCTTAAGAATTAAATATATTTCATATCTTATGCCTAGGTATGATACATATTAATTTAGTATTCTTGGTTATGCCTGCATCTCTCCATCGAGGCTCCATATTACATCAAAATTTAATTACACATATGATCACTATATGCATTAAATTAAGATATGGTAATATTGAAAATATTATTTTAATCATTTAAAGAATAAGAGAACTCATTAGTGCTACATATGATATTTACATCATTAATACAAAACTATATAATTTAGCTAGATATGAAGTAGAATTGAAGTAAACTAATTTTCATTAATAGCATGATAGAAAAAAAAAGGGATAGATATCACCAGAATGGTTCAATCGATCTCTTCTACACTCATTCTCTTTACTTACAGATTTGCTTCCACCAACATAAGTCAAACACTATAATGATGATGTCAAGTACGTACTTCTTTAAAGTCACTTAGTTATCACCCTAAGGAAAGTTCAAAGAAGCACTTTGAATTGTACTGAAGTTATCTAAGAGGCTAAACTTCCTTACAAATATAACACAATGACTATTTATAGGAAAATATAAATTAGGCAACAGGCACTGTGACACTAAAAAGATTGGTGCTGCTACAATATTGCTCTATCTTCAATGAGGTGCTTACTGATGTGGATCAATTACTTAGTGAACTGTCATGACATTTTGATGACAGACCGTGTCCTTGGGAAGTTACAATTGCAATGCCATGGCGCTGTTGACTTTCAAATGTTATAATGGCAGATGAACAATTTGGGAGCCGAGGCTTTATAGAGTGTGACGCTGCGGCATTGAACGACAGAGAACCTAGTATTGCAAAGTTGAACTTATGACATCACGACATGTCAGATAGAGATGTTGGCGTTGCAATGTCGATATTCTACTACTTTGACGGTGTCTTTGATGGTGATATCACATTGTTTGTTCTAATATTGTGGCGTTATATGAACTTAAAATTTTATGTTTTTTTTTTTTAACTGAAACAACACATTTTCACTGGAAATATAACATATAAAATAACATTGTTTACACTTATCATCATGCGACAGTATTTGAGAGGAGATCCAGTGTCAATAACATCCGGGAAGAGTTCCACCGATAATCTGAGAACAGACGAAAGTTTGGCTATGGTTGGTGGACGGAAAGAGATCCAATGGCAACTGATGACAAGGTAGCTCCCCAACTTTTCTCGTTTTATTTTTCTCCCATCGTATGAAGAATGGTGACTATTTATAATTTTTGTGGAGTGGCATAACTAGTAAATGTGGAGAATATCAAGGATATGTTGGGAGTATTCTATAGGACAGTTCATAGTGATCCTCTTGATTATGAAGAATTATCAACCATTTAGATGTCCTAGAGATGTAAGAATTGAGTATTAATCTTGGGCTCGCTCGATTTGTCTTGTCGAGTCACTTATACATATTTTAACTTTATTTTGCCGAGTCACTTATATAATAAAGTGAAATGACTTTGAAATATTAATATACATATTTTGTACCAGAATAAAAAAAAATTATGTCATATATAATTAATTGTAAGCATCATATTACTTTTAAATTAACTAAATTATTAGTTAATAT